CCAAAACGCCGACATGAAACGAGTGTCGCGGTCGCTGACAATGTCTTCTGGTACACCGTGGCCACAAATCCAACCAGTGTGGAGGAGGCGTGCCAGCTCGGGAGCCGTGGAGTAGTACTTGCAAGGGAGAAAACGCGCGTACTTACTCAATCGGTCCACAACCGTGAGGATGTCGTCGTGCCCGAGCCGGTCGCGAGGAAACGGACCGGTGACGTCCATGGCAATGGAGAGACCGGGTTCCCGTGGGATAGGCATCGGGTGTAACTCGCTGTAGGGATTGCGGTTGCGGGGCTTGCTGCGTCGGCAAACTTCGCAAGAGTCGCAATACCGAGTGACATCGGTAATGAGGTCGGGCCATCGGAATCGCTGTCGAAGCCGTGCAATAGTGCGGTTGACTCCGAAATGGTCGGCGAGTCGTGAATCATGATAGTCGCCGAGGAGTGGCTGCTGGGTTATCCCCACTGTCCTGCTGGACTGCAGCGAAGTGCTGTTGTCGCGGACCAGTTTGTACCTTCTCCACATAGGTCGGCTGCCATGATGTTGATTTCTCATGTGCAGCTGACCTGTTGGTCTTGATGATCTCTCGCGCCTTGTCGATAATCTTGGCGAAGGTGGCGTACTGCTCGCGATCACCAAGAGCCTGGCTCAATGCAGCACATGACCTGTTGTAGAACTCACGCCTGAGATGAGTGAAAGGCAGGTGCAGATTGGGCATTGCCGCAATCTTCAACCACTCTGTGAGCCAATCCTGTGTTGCAGTGTTGCCCTGTGACATGGTGAACAAACAGTTGATGGCGAGTGTCGGCGCGTCGTCGACGATGAACTTCTTCTTCCACAGCCGTGTCAGTTCTTCCCATTTGATCTTGTCCTTGAGGTCCGGTACGTCGACGCCGTGGGAGGTTGCCAGGTGGGTCAACCAGGTCTGGTATCCGCCCTTTGAGTTCAGGAACAGGGCGCCGATGTACTTGTGCTTAGCGACAGGCAGAATCCTGAGTTGCGTCGTGAATGCCTCCCATCAGAGGGTCGGATCCTGCTGCGTGTAGTCGTCGAACTTTTCCAGTTGGAAAGTTGGCATCTTCTGATTGCCATCTGCGTTCGTCGACTGCAGCTGTTGGACCTCGGTCTTCAAGGTATGCAGCTAAGTGTTGATGGTGGACGGCGCAGCGAAGGTGTTATTGTCGCCGAGCATTGCCAGGATGTGGTCAACGCATTCCTCCAGTTGGCGGCTAGAGGGTGCACTGTTGGAAGCCCCGGCAGTTGGTCCTGGTACAGCCTGTTCCAGGTCCAGCAATCGGGCATTGAGTGCCCGAGTTGCATCCTCGTGGCTCTGCACTGTTCGGCGGAGCGTTGCCAACTCCTGATGCTGTTGCGTCAGGTCCTGGTACTGTCTCTCCAACTCTGACCATTGGTAGTTGCAAGCATACAGCAACCGTGTCACGAGTTTGGAGAGGAACTCCTTATGCTGCTCTTCCGGTGTTGCCTCGTCGCTGTTCGGTTCAAAATGCCAGAACTTGAGTCTGTCGTTGCTTGTGGCTTCATGGCGCTGTAGCAGATCCTGGGCTTCCTTGCGGCGAGCCTGGGAATCTGCGTCTGCATCGGCCTGTAGCCGCAGCTTCTCTGCTGCTGCTGCCTCGTCAGCCTGTACGCGGGCAGCCTCGACTGCCAGCAGGCGTTGTTCCYCAGCCTCTATCTGAGCCAGGCAACGCTGCTTGTAGGTGGCAATGGTCTCATTGGCCAGTTGGCCTGGCAGGCCCGCCATGTTGCTGACGTGGCACTGCTGATTACGTGGCACTGCTGATGTGGCACTGCTGACGTGGCACTGCTGATTACGTGGCACTGCTGATGTGGCACTGCTGACGTGGCACTGTGTCTGACGTGGTACTGCTGACGTGGCACTGCTGATGTGGCACTGCTGACGTGGCACTGTGTCGGACGTCACTGCTGACGTGGCACTGTCTGACGTGGCACTGCTGTCGTGGCACTATGTCTGACGTGGCAATGTGACCTGGCACTGTGATGTGGCACTGCTGACGTGGCACTGTGACTTGGCACTGTGACGTGGCACTGTGACGTGGCACTGTGACTTGGCACTGTGACGTGGCACTGTGACGTGGCACTGTGACGTGGCACTGTGACCTGGCACTGCTGACGTGGCACTACTGACGTGGCACTGTGACGTGGCACTGCTGACGTGGCACTGTGACTTGGCACTGTGACGTGGCACTGCTGATCTGGCACTGTGACG